TTTTTGTCAAATATCAATAGAAAATCTTTTTTTCTTCTCTATTAACATATAATGTCAAAATTGTCATAACCAAACAAAGCAGCTCGATCTGTTATAAAATTCATCACCAAGAAATCTCTTAGTGGTAGACAAAGCATTCAGTTAGAAATCCGATTGTTTGCGGATGATGTATCACTATTCTATGCACATGAAGATCCAGTTAAAGCGGGTGAAATAATAAATGATGACTTAAAATATATACATAAATGGTGTATCGCATGCAAAATGAAGTTAAACATTAAGAAATGTAAATCCATGACATTCTCTTTCTTTGTAATCAACCACAATCATAGAATACTTGTTGATGGCGCACCAATAGACGAAGTTACACAGCATAAGGTGACACGACAGTTGAGCCTATGACATTTGAGCCCCGACAAATGAGCCTCGACAGACGAGCCTACCAACACTTGAGCTCTTGACATTTCAGCCCCCGATATTTAAGCCTCCCGATACGTGAGCCTTCGACACTTGAGCCTGTCGCAGATAGGCATTATATGACTGAGTTCGATACTATTAAGGAACAGGCTAATTGCTTGATTGATTGATTAAAATTTTATTTAATAATTTATTTTTTAATAATGAGTTGATTAAAATTGAATTTGGCTTCCTAACGAGTTGTAAGTATATATATATATGCAGAGTAAGGAACGCACATCACTCATCCTACTATCCCTTAAAAATGTCTATTGTAAAATCTTCTAAAGATATGATTGTTCTGGTCGTGTAACTCGCGTTTGGACCAACAACTTCCACGTACAAATTATTCTTCAGAAGGATGGCATCATGCACTTAAAGTAAGATCAAGCTCTACAGACTATTGTCCTCAATAAGTCAGCTACTTTTATTTAGAATTCTTATAAATCCATCTATTTATGAATCTATTAAAGATCTTCAAGTGGAACAACATGCCAATTTAATTATGGCTGAGAAGTTAGAAACTGGGTTTGTAAAATTGACAAAACGTGCGGCATATGAACAAATGGACGAACAACTACAACAGTTAATTACCGCTTTTAACATAAACACAAGAAAGGAGTATTTTAAAAGAGCAAGAGCTTTGTTTAATTTTTGAAATTAAAAAAATAAAAGTCATATAATGTCTATCTGCGACAGGCACTGACACGCCAGTTGAGCCTATGACAGTTGAGCCTCGACAGATGAGCCTACCGACATTTGAGCTCTTAATATTTCAGCCCCTCGATACGTGAGCCTTCGACATTTGAGCCTGTCGCAGATAGACATTATACTCGGTAAGAGTTCAGCAGTTGAACGAAGTGTGTCCTTATTATTCATGTTTTTCCTGAAAGTAACTATGAGCATTAATGATCAAATAGCCATGATATGCGATGAGTCATCGTATCGACGATCATGCATAACTTGTTTGTGATTGTATGGATTAAACAGAAAGACGGTGAAAAAGTTTTCTTTTAATGTTATATATTTATAATAAAAGTGTCAGCACGGGCAGTTTTAATGAAAAAATTATGCATAGTCGTTTAGTTGAATTGATTATAAACTAGAGCAGTGACTAATCCTGTACGATCCATAATTCACAGTATCATTGTTTGCAAAAAAATGATTTGAAATTTACGTATGTGGAGGCAAAGATTTATTCAAAAAACGTAAATAAAATAATACTATAAAACAGATGCTCTGCACATAAGAACTCTTCTCACTCTCGTTGACCATTATGATGTGTTTTTCGTGTTTTAAATGGGATATCACTACACCTTGTTTGCCGTTATTGGTAGTATTTATTTCTAAGGTTTTGAAGTTGGCATGTGCAATGCATTAAAACAAGTACGCCATTTAACAAATCATTCAGTTATATTTTTTAATATTTCTTCATAACTAGGACGTTTATCTGGTTGTTGTTGTACACATTTTTTAGAGATTTCCTTTCAATTATATTATAATGAACAATGGTAGGAAATATGTTTAAAACTAAATCAATCAGTCTACCAAATGAATATATATCAGATTTTGATGTAGTTAGTCCCATATTACTATGCGGATATAATTCCGGTGCCATATAATCATTGGTACCAATACCAATTGTAATTGGTTGTTGATGTACAAAACCAAAATCAGCTCTTTTAAATATTGGTGTTCTTATTTCATTATTTTCTTCTCTAACTAATATATTACCAGCTTTTATATCACGATGTATAAATTCTGATTTATGTAAATAATATAAACCATTTGTAATTTGAATAAGCATATTTGTTATTAATTCAACAGTATAATCATTTTTTAAAACTCTATTATGTAGATATGTTAAAAGATTACAATCCATGCATTCCATAATAATATAATAATTATCATCATTTAAACAACATCTTTTAATACCGTAATATTTAACAATATTATCATGTTGAAGTTCTTTAATATATCGTACTTCTTGTACATTAAAATCATTTAATGGAATTTCTTTTGCAGTAATAAGAATAATATTATCAGTTTTATTTATCGTCATTTGTCTATTAAATACTTCATAATTAGCTTTGCCTAATTTTTCATTTGTAATTTCACATTTAGAATATGAATATGTGAAATGTTTATCAATTATATCAAGATATAATTTTGTAATATCTTTACGATGCTTTTTCATAAATTTACTAAGAGCTTTAACATTTTCATCACTACAATCTTTTGCTATGTTTGATTTATTTTGAAAAGCATTTAGAATTTTATCAATTTGTACATCGATCGAGTTCGTTAAATATTCATATATTGTTCTTTCAATTTGATTTATTATCTCATCTGTACAGATGGAAACATCATTAGAGATAGAATTTGTTAATTCATTTTTCTGTCGTAATTGTTCATTATCAGTTGCTTGAATAGAATTAACACAAGCAATCCAACCAGCTCCTCCAATTAATGGTGGCAGTTGTACCAAATAAATAAAAAATGCGCTTATATCTACTTAGAGTATTATCACTTTCTTTCATCAAATAAACGAGTTGTTTGGCAGTTGCAGTATCATTTAATCGAATTGAAGTTGAATACGGATTAGAAACGATTAAACGGTCTAATGTGTCCACAAAACTTTGTGAATCAATGGGATTCAAATCTAACTGAGCATAAAATTCTCCAATTATCTTTGAAATTCATAGCAGTTCTATATTCGATTTACAAATACTTATTTCCAACTGCTCTACCAACAAATTTCATATCTTTGAAATATTTTGTCGTATATCATTAATTTGTAGTTTTACCACATTTTGGAAATTTTCTTCTATTCTTGAAGATAAAAGCTCTTTAGAAGGTTCAGAAGCAGATTGACATTCTTTTACTAAGGTACTAATATCGATCTCCACAATTTTCTTATGTATAAGTTCCATTTCGATGGCTATTTGATCATACAACTGACGTTTCAAGCCGTTAGGATTTAACATATTCTGCAGTTTTTCATAACGTTTTCTCATTCGATTAAAATCATCATAATCAAGTAATATATGCAGTGATTGTATCAAATAATCTAATCGATAAGAAGTAATCAATTTTACAGCCAAATCAAACCATGTAGTTGATTTTTCAATAAATGATAAACGTGATTCTAAATAATCTTTGACACTGAATGTATAATGTGTACACATTGGTATAAAACGATTTGATGCTGTTGCATCATCAACAAGTTTTACTTTCAGTTGTGATTTTAATTTATTAAATAAATTCTGTACAACTTCGGATTTTGATTTTTTAGTCTGTTTATCAATGGTAAATTTATCAGTTGTAGTAATGAGAAAACAAACTAAACTTTCACATTCTTCATTCTCAATTAATTTAATTTTTTGATGGTCTACTTCTTCTTCAGATGTGGCAGCGAATGATTGCTGTTGTGTAAGTTCATAATTTCGATTCTGTAAAACGTGGTTTAATAAAATTTTCAAATGATGTTTTTAAACTATCTTGTACTGGAATTAATCCAAATATAACATCTGGATCTTTAATAATTTCATTTAGTCGTCTATCAATTACCATATTTTCATCAAAACCAGGTATATCCCATGATTCAATATCTCTTAATTCTTCCACTGGTATTTCAATGATTATTTCATCACCACATTTCTTTGATCGATCTTCAGCTTGAAGTTTTATGAGTTTCGTAGCTTCTTCTAATAAATTGTCTTCTGTAATATCCGGTATTTCTTCAGTTGTCCCATCATTCCGATTTACTAGTGCCAATCGTACGTGATCACTCTAAGTAATCTTAGTTAATCTTGCCGTTGATTCTTCATTTCTTATTGGACACAGATCCTTATCACTACCTCTATCAAGTAGACAATTAATTACACTACTTCTTATTGATTTAAAACTACCTAAAAATGTAATAACAATTTTATGTCGACCATTTATTATTGTATAATGTTCAATAGTTAAAATTTCTTTTAAATTCGAATTACTATGTATTTTTTCTATAATATTAATTAGACTTTCTTCAAATGTTTTTAATTCATTTAAATAACGAATACTCTTTTGAGCAAAATATAATGGTTTTCTATCAAAATTCATTTTACAAAGTATTTTGAAAACGTCTAATTGTTTATTAAAGTTAATCCCTTCATCATTGTGTACAATTGGTAGTTGAATGTCTTTAATTATTTTAGTAATAAATTCTAATATCTCTTGTCGTTGAGCACACTTCATACTACGAAGTTTTCAGGTTCATTTTTCCTGAAGTCCCAACGTTCTAGCTATAGCGGATCAAAAACTGACAATTTTCTAATGTGAGCGTAATATTGTAATAAGTAGACTACTATCCATTCCCGCAGACCTTCACATGGTAATTTAGAAAAGTAGAAAAGAACAAAAAGAAACTTATATGTTACGTATTTGCGGAATGAATTTGTATTCTGTTGTTTTGTTTACCTCAGCAACGTTCTTTCATCTGCTGTTTACAGAAAAGTCGAGTACAATCTTCAAATATAGACACTATTGCGTTTAAAAGCAGTGTCAACACATTAGTTGCTTTTTTCTCTTTCTGAAAACATCACCTTTCAACGTTTACTGCCTTAAAGACTACTACTAAGTTTTCAGATAAACCTCAAATTTCTTTAAAAATCCCAGTTAGATCCATGATTTGAATCTGTATTACATCTCGAACTGCTTACTATAACAGAGATCAATTGTAAACAATTGCTTCCTTCTACTGAATGTTTTATATACATAGAAAGTTTGGCTGAGCCATGACTTGTTTTAAATAAAATTATAGCTGGTATGGATGAGAATGACTGAGTTATGAATATTTTAATTTTACACGGACATGGGAGAAAAAGTGAATTTTGAAAAAATTGGCTCAGCTAAACTTTCTGTAATCTAAGGAAGACAATAAGCATTGCTATGATGATCAGCGATGTCGATAATCTACAGTCCATCTCTCTTTGCAGTTCCCGAGCCAAAACTGTGAAGCATAGGTAGGTCTGCGAAAAACCTCTGTAACTTCTCGGCCACTGAGAATATAAATCTGAATCGTGCGTAGCTTGAAGGAGGACTGTCTGGCAGTTCTAATTGACATCACAGAAGTCAAAACTTCATTGTTTGACCTTTGAGTCGCAGGCTCCTACATTTCACTCGGCTGACTTACTATGATTTTACTGGGGATGACCTAGACAAGTTCTTTGTTGAACTTTTGTCATTACCCTGTCATTTTATTAACATCATGGACTAAAATAAAATTGATTGATTGATTGATAAACCTGATCCGGAACCTGAATTTTTCATAGCTCTAGGATAGAACAGATAAAACTGGTTATGTCTGACACAAAAGTTTGCTAAAGTTTAGGGTTTTAAATATCAAAAATATGCAGCCTTTGGGACATAGTCGCAGGATTTGGTGCTTCCCTAGTCTTCGGGATCATAATGCTGGTACTCGATTAAAATTGGATCAGCTTTTAACAAACATATAGCACAAGTGGAAATAAAGCAAGATTGTGGCTGGATACTACTTGTTAAGCGTACGATAATGGTGTTTCGGCAAGATCGACGGGTTCAGAAGTTATTGCTTTAGGAAACAAGTTTCAATAGAACGTTGCCTAAGAGGAATGAGCCAACGAGGGCACCTCATGAGATGATGTATCACTTTTGATCGAAATCTAGTGGGTTAGAGGTTATCGACCATGCTGATCCCGAATATGATTATGGGGGCTGCCTATAGTCCATCAAAGATCTGGTCTTCTGGAAAACCAGTTTTTCAGAAACTCTAGAAAATAACCCAAACCTTTCTTAACAATACAGAATTATAGCTCGCAAATTTCGGATTAAAATGAGACATCTCCACCTCTACAGAACTTTATTCTTTCGCATTTCCTGCCAATAAACGCGAGAAGTTAAATGATGTAGAGTTTTCCGCCTGCCGAAGTGCCCTGAAACTGCGTGATCGTGAGAAAAATGTAGTAAATCCATAATTTTTGATTTTGGTATTACTAACAAATTTTGACTATAATTGAAACGGTTTGATGGCTCTTCGTCGAAACGTCGTAGGCGATAAAGTCTATCATCAATTACTTTATAATATTTTACGATTCCACGCAGTTATTTCGAAATATTCTCATTCGATGGTAATATTCCATCTTGCAGATAATCAATCAGAAGTCGCAAATTCTTATCGTTCCTTTGTGCTTCTTTTATATTATCAAGTACATTGCAGCTATCCCAGATGCTACGACTTCTGATTGTACAGGATAACGTTATAAAGTATCAACGTTCTGATTAGCCGCACCAGAACGGTGTTGTATTACCATGTCGTAAGCGTCTAATTTCATGCCCCAGCGCACTAACCTGCTGGTTGGATCCTTTAAATTACGAAGCCATACTAGAGACTTATGATCAGTCCACACTTCAAACGGCCTTCCTTCCAAATACGGACGAAAGTGTTGAGTGCCCCAAACAATTGCTAAACATTCCCGCTCAGTAGGGGAATATTTACGTTCTGTTTCGCTTAGCGTTCGGCTAGCATAAGTGATAACGTGTTCATCTCCTTCGAGAAGAACTCTCTAGGCTAATATGGCTCCTAGACCATAATCACTTGCATCCAGCTGTAATATGAATGGATAATTAAAATTTGGATACGAGATTACGAGACTAGTTATGAGTTTTTGTTTTAACTCTTCAAATGAATCCTGGCACTCTGGTGTCCAAACGAATATTGGTGAATGCTTAACGCGAATTAATTTCAAAAGAGGCTCTGCGATGGTAGCATAACTCCTGGTAAACCGGTGATAATATCCGGTTAATCCGAGGATGAACGTACGTCTTTAACTTTGAACGGAACCGGAAAATCACGTACTGCTTGTAATTTTTCCGAATCTGAACGTATACCATCAGCACTGACTATATGTCCTAAGTAGTGAAGCTCCTTCTGACAAAAATGACATTTAGATGCCTTTAAAGTAAGATTACTTTCACTTAATCTACCCAAGACATCATCAATGTCCTTCAAATGCTGATCGAAAGTAGAAGAGTAGATGATAACGTCATCTAGGTAAACTAAGCAACACCGCCATTTCAGCCCCCATAAAACCAAATCCATCAGACGTTGAAATATAGCTGGTGCATTAGTTAATCCAAACGGCATCACGGTGAAGTGAAATAAACTCGTGAATCACGAAAGTCGTTTTCTCTTTACTTTCTTCATCGAGTTCTACTTGCCAAAATCCTGAGCGTAAATCTAACGTGCTAAAGAATTGGGCATCGTGTAGAGCATTGAGAGTATCATCTACCCGTGGCAAGGGATAGACATCTCGAATGGTGACTGCGTTCAGTCGACGAAAATCAATGTAAAAACGCATTGTTCCGTCTCGCTTCGGCTGCAATGTAACTGGAGCTGCCCAAGGTCCAGTAGCGAGTTCAATTATATTTTGCTCTTGCATTTGAATCCGCTCTTGAGTGACATAGTCTCTGGGTGGAGGCAGAGCACAATAAGGTTGCTGTTTAATTGGTTTAGCGTCACGAACATCAATGTGATGTTTAATGATGTTAGTACATCCCGGTTGTGAAGTGAATAGATTGGCGTACTTGAGAACTAAATCACTCAAACGTTTTTCCTCAGCATCAATTAAAGAAGCACTGGAGAGATCTAAGTGTCTCAAAAGTTGTTCCCAAAATTCCTCGCTTTTCGACGCTTGAGACGAAGAAGGTGCAGATACATTATAAGATTCCTTATTTTCCTTAACTACATTATACGTGTATTTTTCTTCTTTTTCATGTTCGGTTTCTTGTTCACCTTCCTCTTCAACTTCTCCCATCGAATTGTGTGAGTCAATATATGTGTCAATATATGTCTCTGCATGAGTTAATCCTTCTTTGTTTATGACTGGCATCAGCGGTTCCAGTTCTAATGTTGGATCTACTGGTCCATGATGTTTTGTTGGGTTCGGATGCTTCGTCGAATAATCATCATTAATTAATAAATTTGTATTAATATTTTGATAATAATTGATGGTATTATTATAATGATGCTGAGGAATATCTCATCCATTATAGATTGCATAGTGTTGTGATTGTGGTTGAAGAATTCCCGTTGAAGGCGTGATCCATTGGCTTGCTAATGGTTCTAGATAAGCCAATCTTTGCCCTTTATGGATGACTTGTCTTCGTGACGTCACATTTGCTATTTGTAAAGCTGTAGACTTATTTTTAACGACCACTAAACAATTTGCGTAGATATTCTGCTCGGAAAGGAGGTGGTGGTAGCTTCCCACTGGCCTGGATCGAAATCTGATGGGACTCTGACAGTGAGATAGGTATCATGATAAGGAGGGATGATTCTTTTCTTAGCTGCATAAACAGGGGCATCTAGACGACCAGCCTGATATAATTCCATGGACAGAAGATATTTTTCAGTTGGCCTAGATTTTCGCCATAACCTTCCGCCTCGAATATCCAGGACAATCCCTGCTTTGTGGAGGAAATCTGTTCCGAGGAGAACTAACTGGTTGAACTTTTTTGCTGGGATGGATGGGTGATAAATAGTTTATCCTGCTACCGTGATTTCTGCTTCTACCCATCCAACTGGTTCTACTGAACTACCTTCAGGTCCAACTACATCGGCTCCGAAATAAGGATCGATTGAATCAGAATTTCCGCCGATTAGTTTCCAATAGTTATAATGGATTCCTGCTCTAGTGTCAATCGTTAGAATTCTTTCAATATTGTGAATTTTACCTTTCGTTGTAGCACAGCCTTTCGTGATTCGATACTTTGAATTGGAATCAGAAGGTGTTAGTTGAGAGTTTATCATCTGATTCACGAGAACCAGGTTAGATTTTGTTCTCTTCTTGCATGTCTACGTTTTGGTTTTTCTTTCATTTTTGTTCTTTTCATCTTTTTTCACAATTTGATCTGTTTTCTCAATTTCCTCTTTGTTCGAGCTTTCTTAGATGAATTTTTAGATGCTTGTTTTTCAGGACATAATGGATCATTATCGTCTTCTTC